CAGCGAGGGAGGGCCACCAGCAGAGCTGGGGAAAGGTTCCAGGGCTGGGTCATGGTGTCTTTGAGTGATTCATGTGGGGAACCACTGGCAGAGGTGAGCAGGTGCCCTTAAATTTCAGTATTCCAGGCATAGAGGTTATTCCAGTGTCAGGGGTGAACTTGTCTGGTGTAAAAAATTCTGGGAAAGGCACATTACGAGAGCTTTTTTTTACTGAGTTGATGGCTTTTAAGTGGATGTCTCCATAAAATATGGATGAGAAATCAGAGAAGCCATAGAGGGAGGAGGTTGGGGTTGCAAGAGAATCTGAGCATCAAGAGCATCATCAGGTGAGTCAGGGCAGCACCTGTTTTGCAAAGAGTCCTGAAAAGGAGTTTGGAAAGGCTTTAAGAGAGCTCAGGATAAGGTCAGAAATGACGGACCAAGGGATCTCTGGCACACGGAGATGTCAAATGGCAGAATGGGAGTGGGAATAGTCAAGATGCCATGGGATGAACTTGGCTTGTCCTGCATGAGAAGCAGTTACAATTCACTGAGGGAAGTTCTGCAAAGGGCAGGAATTTGGATTGGTTTTAGTGGTAGTGATGCCTTAGGATTTAAGCTGTTGTATTTTTCATATTGTTTTAATATGTTCCTGCAAAGGACAGGAATTTGGATTTGTTTTAGTGATAATGATGCCTTAGAATTTAAGCTTTTATATTTGTAATATTTTTTTTAATATGTTCCTGCAAAGGGCAGGAATTTGGATTGGTTTTAGTGGTAATGATGCCTTAGGATTTAAGCTTTTATGTTTTTCATATATTTGTAATCCTGTAATTCTTTAGTGTATAACTCTAAAGTCCATATACATTGTTAGCTACTGCTTTCCTATTTTGGTTGGACGAAAAAATTCCTCTCCAGGCCTAGGAATCAAAGACACCTCAGTGTCTCAGGCCCTGAGAAATGCAAACAAAATCAAGTTGGGGGAAGCAAATTTTGGGTAAATTACTTGATTACTTGAAGGTGTAATTAGATTAACTCCCAATACGCAAATGGACAAAACTTTTAAAAATATAAAAACCTGTGACCCGTTGTCCAGTTTTTTGGGTGTAGCCCCTGGGTGAGCTTCATCTGCCCAAAATGTATCTAAAGACACTTCAATAAATATAACTGCTTTTTATCCTCTTAATTTTGTCTGGCCTCTGTTTTTAGGTAGCCACAAAAAATATCAATGTGGCATCAGTTAATAACAGGTGGAGCAGAGCTAACTGTTCTATTTGTCCCCAAAAAACACCTTCATTGCACAGTAACACGTGCATGACTCAGAGCAGGAATGTGGCTGGGCAGGGCGGGCTGGGAGCGGTTCAGCCTTCCCCAGCTGACTCTGTGAGATCATTTTTAGCCTCAGTCTCTCCCCTGGCCCGTTAAAGTCGCTATGTGAGCATCTCTGTGTGTGTTGGGCCTGATAACATCTGAACAAGGCAGAGGAATGGAAATGCTGTGGAACTCGCCCCGGGCCATAAAGGAAATGTGGAGAACAGAGAGAGGAACTGCTGGTCCCTAAGTCAAGCTCATCCAGCCTCTCTGCCCCACAGACTTTCTCCAGTGGTTTAAATCCAGTTTTTAATCAGCTGCTGCAAACTGAGTTGATTTCAGAGAAACTTTTTCAAACTGGTAAAGGCACTGGATGTAAATTCTAATGTGCTGTAGGAAATACTGGATGGCCTAATTCTTATCCACAGGGATGATGAGTAATGGTTAATTGTACCTGGAGTAAAGAGAATTCATGAAGCCTTAGAATCATGGAATGGTTTAATTTGGAAGTAACCTTCAAGATCATCTTGTGGGCAAGGACAACTTCCACTAGATCAGATTACTCCAAACCCCATCCAACCTGTCCCAGAACACTTGAGTTTTTTAAAGACCCTGTCCTCAATTTTAGGCCTTTTCAGAAGTGTGGAGAAGACAGAAGAATTGATAAAACTGTTCAAGAAGCAACTTCCTTGAGCAAAATACACCCAGCCTTGTTTTTCAGATTAATAACATGCTTGTGTGTCCTGCAGCAGCTCTCAGGATGTTTTAACAGCACCCAAAATGTAAATTATCACAGATTTCTGCACCAACAGAGCATGCTGGTGACAGAGGTTGCAGGCAGAGCAGAGGAACCTGACCTAGAGTCCTGTTGAGATTTATGATGGGTTTAAAGCAGGAGGGGGAGCCAACCTTTCTGCCAAGGTGTAGTCCCAGCCCTTGGGAGAACATCCCATTCTCTTCCTGGTCCTGCCCTGGCCCAGCCCAGGTTCTGATGGGCAGCTGAGTCATTTATCTGCCCCACTTTGCCACATCCTTGCCCCTCCCAGAAATTAGAGGGTTGTTTTGAGGCTGCTCTCTCGGTGACCTGGACGGGCAGTGAGGTTTGGGGCTATCACAGGTGCTGTGCCAGGTGCCATCAGTTCCACAAGGCGCTTCTGCCCACTTCTGTTTCTGTCCCAGTCTTGGCCTCTCCCAGCTGCACCTTCTCTAAATCATGGAATCCCGGAATACCTTGGGCTGGAACTCCCTCACCATGGACAGGGACACCTTCCTCTAGACCAGATTGCTCCCAACCACATCCAGCCTGGCCTTGGACACTTACAGGGATGGGACAGCCACAGCTTCTCTGGAAAAACCTGTGTCAGGGCCTCATCACCCTCCCTGGGAAAAATTCCTTCCCAATATCCTTTCTAACCCTGTTCTCTGACAGTGGGAAGCCATTCCCTGCGTCTTGTCCATTCATCCCTTTTCCAAAGTCCCTCTCCAGGTATTTTGGAGCCCCTTTAGCCACTGAAAGCTCTCCCCAGACCCTTCTCTTCTTCAGGTTCAGCAACCCCAACTCTCTCTGCCTCTCCTTATAGGAGAGGTGCTCCATGCCATCCTACCCATGCAACTTCCAGATACATCCACAGAGAGGAGTTATCTCTAGGTAAATCCAGATGAGAATCACTCAGTGGTCAATCCCTGACTCCTTCAGGGAAGAAATTTGGAGAAGAAATCATGCCTTGAGCCTCTGAGTGTTTAGATATTGGGTGTCAGCCACCAGAGCTTGGGAAAGCCATCTCTTGGCTCTGGGAAGAAACTCCTCAATTACCTGCTTGAGAAAGTAGACTACATTGCCACTTCACCAAAATGTTAAACTAGAGCTGAACAGTCCCCATTTATACTCCCTTATCTTACTTTTGGGGACAAATTCCCAAAATTCCCATCCCTGGAAGTGTTCAAGGCCAGGTTGGATGGGGATCTGAGCAACCTGGTGTAGTGGAAGGTGTCTCTGCCCATGGCAGGGCCATGGAACGAGATGATTTTCAAAGTTTCTTCCAACCCAAACCATTCCATGATTTTAGGAATGTGTTTGACTGCTCCAGAAGCTGGAAGAGGCTGTTTCACCCAACTTCCTTGAGGACTCCAGTGGCTCTGGTGCCACCACACTTTGGCCACCTAAATTCCCATTCTCCAGAAAAGACCATTGCAGCCAAATTGCTTGATGGGAATGGCCTCTGGATGTGGAATTGTTTCAGAAAGTGCACACAGGGCATTAAGGTGTCAGGGACATCCTTGCAGTGCAAGGAGAGGATTCCCTGGAATGGAAAGTTCATGGCGTTGGTGACCCATGCAGAAAACAGCCTGACTGGAAGACTTACAAGTGGACAAGCCCCTTTTCAGGGATGTGACTCAGGAGGTTTGGAAAAGCCAGACTAAATCACTGCACTTGTCCCAAATCCTCCCTTCACCAATAACCAGATTGGATTCCTATAAACAAGGTGGCTCATTCTTGACTTCCTCCGGGGAAACCCCTTCCCAGCTTCCTACAATTAGCAGCTTCCTTACAATTATCCCAGAATCTCGAGGATTTATGTGCTTTTCACAACAGCAGACGGTGCCATTATCTCCTGACATCCCTTTGACTTCATCCCAAATGGGATTTTGACGCTTGTCCCACGGCTATGGATCCTCCAGGTGACTCATCCCCCCCAGGGGAAATGATTCCCTGTTATTTAAGCCTGGGGATCTCCACATCCTTGGCAGCTCCAGTAGGTTTTAAGGTGGAAGAAAGGAATTTGGGGCTCTTGGCCAATTTCCCTCCCCTTTTAATCCTCCAACCACTGCTGTCCTGACTTCACAGCTCCTTAAATCCTGAGGGCTTTCCCAGATTTACTCTCCGTGTTTTCCTCCTTTTTTTTTTTTTTTTTTTTTTTTTTACCAAATCTCTTCCTGTGGGTGTAGCTTGGAAAACACACCTGAGACTTTCTCTCAGACCTCTTTGTACGGTGCTTTTCCTGCTGCCTTTGATCTCCCAATGCAAGCTGGGAACATCTGAGTTTATATCCATAAAATAAATCAGCTGGAAAAGGCATGGAATAACTTTGAATCTGTAGCCACAGAGAGGGGCTATTACTCTACATCAGAGTTGTTAAATAGTCTGCCTTGTACTCAGACACCTCAGGGGTGTTGTTGAATCTCAAACCACTGGCCTTGGAACACTGATCCAGCCTGTCCAGATCCTTCTGCAGAGCCTTCCTACTCTCCAGCAGATCAACATCCCACCCAACTTGCTGTCATCCATGAACTTCCAGAGGGTGGTCTTGACCTCCTCCTCCAGATTATCAATAGATGTATTGGACTGACCCCAGTACTGATCCTAGTGGGACACCACTGGTGACCTGCCACCAGCTGGATGTGGCACCATTCCCCACCACTCTGTGCCTGGAATACAGCCAGTTTTTAACCCAGCCAAGAGTGTACATTCCCAAGCCCTGGGCTGCCAGTTTTTTCCAGAAGAACACCATGGGAAGCAGCATCACAGGCTTCCCTGAACTCTAGGGAGATACATCTACAGCCTTTCCCTTATCTGAGGAGGTAACCTGGTCATAAAAGGGACTTCAGGTCACATTGCACAGCAATGAGCTGGGCTGGACATTGGCCAGACATAAAACACCCACCTGCAGCTCTGCTGTGGGCAGAAACAGATGACTGAGTGATAGACACAGTTGGTGGAGAAATAACTTTATTTTAGGTGTTTTGCAGATAACATGAACACACATTTCCTTATCTGGTAGCACTGGAGCTTTGCAATAAGATTAAAGCAGAAGCCATCATATGGCAAAGAGCTGCCATCAGCTCCCAGGGTGCTGGGTGTACACCCCACTGCTCCTGGTTACAATTCCTGTTATTAGAGGGGTGCTCTGAGACTTTCTGTGGTCATGGGAGGCATCTTTGCTCCTCAAAATTTGTTGTTGAGCATGGTCCAGAGCACTCCGGCCGCGATCCCTCCGGCCAGCCCGTAGCTGGACCTCACACTGCCCGCGGCGTTGACGTTGCAGAGGTCGCTGGTGCAGCAGGAGATGTTCCTGCTGCCCACGTTGAAGTCCTGGTGGGATGGTTCACACGAGGCATCACATCCCTTGCTGATGATACTGAACAGCCCCACAACACCTGGGAGGAAAGCAGGACCATTATTAGAAGGATTCAGTACAAGCCAAGCCTTGTGGAACTGAGTAATGGGACTCTCATTCTGTGGGAGAGAAATCGGAATCACAGAATGGTTTGGGTGGGAAGGGAAATACAAGATCATCTCATGGGCAGGGACAGGCTGCTCCAAGCCCTGTCCAACCTGACCTTGGACAATTCCAGGCACGGGGCAGCCACAGCTTCTTTGGGCATCACCACCCCCAAAGCAAGGAATTTCTTCTTAATATCCCATCTAACCCCGCCCTCTCTCATGTGAAGCCCAATCCCAAACATCTTTGTTGCACGGAGCCTTTCAACACCTGGGAAATTATGGAAACACAACTACTCCCATTTCAGATGGCACAGTTACTGTTTGATTTGTTTCTGAGAAGCACAGCCCACATTTTTGGCCATTTTTGGCAACCACTGCTTACCAGCAGGTTTTGACCTCCAGGAGATTTGACCCATTCTCCTCCAGGAGATCTAAAATCCATTCTGGGCACCAAATCTTTGCCACGTGCAATAAATAACAAGGAGTCCTACAACATCTTGGCTCTCCTGCATGTGAATGTCATGAATTTGTACATTTCCAACTGGGATAATTCCTACTGGAGGTATCCCATCTACTGCCTGACAGAGAGGAGCTTAAAATGTGGCACTGATAGGTTTTGTGCCCCAGGTCTAAGAGCAACTCAGCTGTCAGCACAGATCTGGACAGATCTAAAACAGGAGGATAAAATCCTAGGTTTTCAAGTTTTCCCACAGACACAGAGATGAAATTTTGTCATTTTCATTGATTTCACCTCAAATCAGCACCTCCTAACTTCACAACCAGGATGGACCAGGTTCAGCCCCTCCCATTCTAATTCATGTTTGCAAATATTGCAAAAAATTAACCATTGCCCTTGCAAGTAAATGAGTTTTGGTGCTGTGAAAGAGAAATAAACCTAATTTTGCATGGGTGAAAAAGATATTTGCACACTGAGGTTTGCTGGCCCAAACCACCTGGTGTATCCGGACTGGGTGAGCCTGGATAGGACACCTGAGGCTGGGAAGAGGTTTGGCTCCAACGTCCCAACTAAGACATTTGCCACCCCAGCTTTTCCTTACGGATCACATCCGTCTTGCACACGTTGTTCTCTTCACATGTCTTCACCGTCTGGCACTTGGAGTTGCTGAGCTGGGAGGAGCAGCTGTAGCACTTCAGAGATGAACCTGCAGGAGACCAAGAGGGTTTAGGAGAGAAACCAGGGAATAATGGAATGGTTTGTGCTGGAAGGGACTTTAAAATAATCAAGTTCCACCCCTCTGCCATGGGAAGGGACAACTTCCAGTTGACCAGGTTGCTCCGAGCCCCATCCAATCTGGATTTGGATACTTCCAGGGGTGTGGCAGCCACATACTTCCTTGGGCAGCCTGATCTATTTTTTTACCACTCTCATTATAAAAAATGTCTTAATTATAGTTAACCTAAATCTACCCTCTTTTAGTTTTAAAAAACTACCCTTCATCCTATCCCAACAGGACCTCCTAAAAATTTATCCCCAACTCTCCTGGAGCCTCTTTAGGCACTGAAAAGGGCTCTGAGGTCTCCCTAGTGTTTTCTCTTCTCCAGGGTGAGCACCTCCAGCTCTCCCAGCTCCAGAGGAGAGAGGCTCCAGCCCTCGGAGCATGGAGACCCTCATGGAGACCTCAATGGTCTCCTCTGGACTTGCTCCAGCAGCTCCACGTCCTTCTGATGCTGGACCCCAGAACTGGACCCAGCCCTGCAGGTGGGGAGAAATTCTCCACCTCTCATGTGTCTTCAGTCTATGCAAAGCTCTCCAGAGAATTCAACCTCTGGGAAACAGGACCATTCCTGGGGATGCTCAAAGGATGGAATCTCCTCTGCTTTGGGGAATTTTTTTTTTTTTTTTTTTTTTTTTTTTGTGGATAATAATATACCTGGTTGAGGTGGGAGTCAGGTTTGGCAGGTGCTGAAGATATTTTGGATGTAGTCAGTGCAGTGAAGGAGCAAAAAAGAGAGCAGAGGGACTTGAAGAGGATCATGGAATGGTTTGGGTTGGGAGAATCATTTCATCAGGGACACATCCCTCTAGACTAGGTTTCTCCAAGCCACATCTGACCTGGCCTTGAGTGAGGGATGAAGAAGGAATTTGCAAAGTCTCCAGCAAGGGCAGGAAAAACCTGGCAGCTCCCCAGCATCCAGCCCTGGTGAAAAATTGTCCCCAGAGGAGTGAGATTGTGGTGTCATTACCTGTTCCTGTCACCTACTTGTGCCCCAGGGTGCCACTGGATCCAAATGTCAGTTAACAAACAAACAAATAAATAAATAAATAAATGTTTCCTTGAGCCCCATGACGACCAAACTTGCATCACTAATTCCCCAACTCAATACCCTAATGCCTGAAATACTCTTTTAGGGCACTGAAAAGCCCTGTTTGGAAATGAGTGATTGAAGGAATTAATTTGAGGCACTCTGTCCAAGCCTCTCTGGTGTAAATGACTGGTGCAGTCACAGAGGTGAGGAGCCAACCCTCAGTTTGTCTGAGTGCTGCACTGTTATCACATTGATCTGACTTTTAAAGCAATAAAAGTCAGATTTTGACTGTTGTGATGGAAGCTGGCAGACAGAAAGGTCTGAGGGCTGTGCAAGACCCTTCACAGCTTATTCCTTAAGCATCCTCTGCTGATTGAGAAACTGCTCAAATTTGATTCTTCTCTTCTCTGGTAATAGGGAAAAGCTGTTTTAAACCCAATTTTTTTTCTTTTCAGTGAGGCAATAAAAACCTGACATTGTCTAAACCCCACCCATTCAGTCTATAAAATAACACATCATGGCATAGTCATTTTTACTGTCCTACTAAAATTCTGGAAATCTGGGCAGAGTCAGGGTCCACTTTTGAAAGAAAAATTGTTGGTGGAAAATTTTGCGTAAGTGTTGCAATTTTGATAGCCTGGGAAGAAGGAAAATAATCCTCCCACCCCACTTAACCCCTCCCCTTCCCCCTTAACTGCATGGCCTGGCTGAAAAAAAAATTTGAATTTTGATTAATTTGAGATTCAGGATTTATATTTCCTGGAAGCTTCTCTCCCCAGCCCTCGGATCCCACCATCCCCAGGTGGGATGTGCATTTTCCCCACTCAACACCCATCCAAAGGGAAATACCTTGGCACGACAACATGCCAACATCTCTTCCCTCATTTCCAAACCCTACCACAAATCCTCCTTCCAGACTGAAATCCTGCAGGGAGGGATGGGGGGCGGATCCTTTGCGGGGTCTTACCTGAGTCCACGCACAGGAGCGCTCCCAGCAGGAGCGCAAGGAAAGCCTTCATCTTGGAATAACCTGTCTTGGGGCTGTCTCTCTGGGTTCTTTCCTCCTGGGGCAGGTTATATATCCTGGGAGGCCGGGCGTGCCCACAAGGTCATCCCTGAGAAGGCACCTGAGGGAGCTGCTGGCAGCACCAAGGGAGGGGTTGCTTTGCGCGTTGGGATATTTGTGTTGGACGCCTCTCCTCTTTCCCTGCCACTCTCTGGGCTCCCCTCCACCCCTGCCTTCCCTCCTACCCTTGGGCAAAGTGCTCACAGGAGTGGAAAAAACCCCAGATTCTTTCCTCCTACCCTTGGGCAAAGTGCTCACAGGAGTGGAAAAAGCCCCAAATTCTTCCGAACAAGGCTGGCCTTATGCATTTCTTCAGAGCCACTGAGGCTGTGGTGGCACCCTGTGAACGAGGCTCTCCACCCCCGGTGCCACCCTGAGTGGAGCCATTGTGTTTAAACTGAGGACAAAATGTTCTTTGAATCAACAGCTCCGGGTATTTATCTGCCCTTGTGAGTGATACTCGTGATAACAAGGTATGTGGTAGGGAGGTATGTGGGCAAATTAAAAGTGCCTTGGCATTTCCAGGTATTGAGGAGTTCATTCGCCCTCGTTTGCATTTGTTTTCTCTTACAAAGTAATGGCCAACTCTTGTTTTTGGTGTTTGAAACCCAAGGGACTTCGTGATGGATTTATTTGGTGTTTTGAGATGTTTCATCTGTGGATTTGTGTGCTCTTGTCTGGCATAGGCTGGGTACAAGTTTGGACACTTGGCTTAGAGCAGATGCAATGTCAGCAACCCAGGCTTGTCCATAAAATGCCACTTCTCCCTCACAGACAGGGAGAGTTCAGGCACATTCCAGCCTCAAGTGCGAATGTTTGCTCTCGTGGGTTGAGCAGAGTCCTCTCCCATTCCTCACACCCTGTGACCACTTCTCAGGACGTGCCAGGGCAAAAGAAAACAGGGTTTTTTTTGCTAAATTCAACTTTTTTTTTTTTGTTTTTCCTTTTCTTCTTCCCCTGGGATCTTGGGATTAGTGCTGTGCATTTCTCTCCTTCAGGGGTTTATTCCCATGCAGTTTAGCTCTCAGGAACTTTTCCAAAAGGTGTGCAAGTGGATCATTTATCAGCATCTGTGAGATGAAAGATACAGACTGAAACTCCTGCCCTGAGTTACGCCAGAGGATAATCTGTTGCTGGAGATGATTTAACAAATCCTAATTCCTCCATGGGAATCTTAATCACTTCTATTTGCACTTTTCTGTGTAAAAATACCTAAAAAAGTGCCCCAACACCTTATTTCTGTGCCTATTGGCTTCTCCCTCATCATATTTTTACAGACCATCTAATTTATAGCCACGTTTTATGGATAAAATAACCCTTTTTTTTTTTTTTTTTTAGGCTCTGGACTTCCTCATTCAGAGGTATTAAAGGTTATTTTTCTTTTTTAATCCCTTAGGACTGTCTCCATAGGATTTGGCTTTTTGTGGTAAGGAAGAACAGGGCCAAGAGGAAAAAAAACAGTCCCTACCAAGTCCACCAAGGTCTAGAATTAAATATTTCACTAAAAAAACATTGATAAGGAAGAAAAACTCTCCATGTTTCCCAGTACTATTGTTTTTTATTCTTTTTCTAACATCAGCCAGAAAAACTCAAAACTTGTGGTGCTGTGAGAGAATCTGACTGCTGAGAGCTTCTCCATCCCCCAGTCCTGCCTGCCTGAGGCTGTGTGAGATCCCAGGAATTCCTGTATTCTTACATAAATTGTTGATTCTCACTGTATTTTGGGAAACTGAAGTGCAATTCCTGCCCGACTCCTGAAGATGGCAAACGTACCCCGTTGTAATCCCGCATGCATTAACACACAGTTATCCATAGGACTGGTATACACAGTGTTGTTTTCTTTTCCCGAGGTTATAAAATTCCCAGTTCATCTGCCTGCATGGAAAACACCATCAATTCCCTCTGGAAACCTCACGATGCCTGCAAATCCCCTGGAATTTTTTTTTAATACTTTTTTTGCTGTCACTGAAGATTCCTCTTGGAGACATATCTGGAGCTCTCTGTTTGGGAAGGGGGAAACAGGAGTTAATTATTTGCTCTATCCTGGTTCTGGATTGTTTGCTCCTGCCTGGTGTCAGGCTGGGAAAATGGTGATGGATCATGGTACATGCCATGGTGTCATGGATCACACTGAAGAGCAGCCACGAGCTGCAAATTTGAGGAAAAAATGGTGAAAGGATTCCTGGAAAATCTGGACAGAGAGACATCAAAAGGAAGTTTCTCCAATTTCCTGGTCATCAGTAGGGAAGCTTGTAGGATGACAGAGATCTTAAAATCACAGGATCATGGAATTATTTGGGTTTGAAGGGTCTTCCAGATGATCTCATTCCACAGCCCTGCCATGGTCTAAGCCAGGTCTAACCTGGTCCAACCTTGGACACTTCCAGGGATGGGGCAGCCACAGCTCCTCTGAGCTGTTGTTTTCTCAGCATGGTCATGCCAGTAACTCCTTTCCAGGATGTTCTGAAGTCCCTGTGTGTGGTTAAAATTCTAGAGGGAATTTGTTTGCCTTTTCCACTCCTGGATGGTGTTAACAGAGAGCTGATGCTGCCTGAAGTGCTGTCTGCAAATCTGCCCAGACTGTGAGGCTATGGGATGTTAGAGAAGGGATTTTAGTGACCAGTTTTAGACATCCAAGTGGGAATTTCTGATGGCTGTTGTTGGGAGCACAGACTCAGGAATATTCAGCTGTCCCAAATCAGAATGGGTGGGAAATAAATGAGATTAAGTCACCAGCTGGGAGTGAGGCAAATCCCATTACAGACTTGTCTGCAAGGTGGGAAGTGTGGTCCCAAATGAAGCATGGAATTGGATAGGCAGGATAACGGATTGATAAGGGAAGAGAAAGATTTCAAAAGGAGGAGATGTATAGATGTTCCCAGAGATGGATGGATGGATGGATGGATGGATGGATGGATGGATGGATGGATGGATGAAAGAGTAGGTTTAGGTTGGATATTGGGAAGGAATTCTTCCTTTGAGGAACTTCTGGCACAGGTTGCCCAGAGAAGATGTGGCTGCTCCATCTCTGGAACTGCCCATGGCCACAACAGGACAACAGAACCAACCTGGTCTGGTGGAAGGTGTCCCTGTCCATGGCAGGGGATTGGACAAGATGACCTTGAAGGTCTTTTCCCACCCAAACCATTCCATAATTCTATGGAAAACACACAGGATGCCCCCTGTCTCAGCCTTCCCCAGCTCCTGGCTTTTTTCCACTTTCCTCTGTCCTGGACTGGACATGACTGATGATGATCCAGCAGCAGGAAAAATAATTCCAGCTGCTCCAGAGATGCCCTTGGCTGCCAGCAGAGAGAGATTCCAGCTCCCACATCTATATATTTACAACACCATTCCATGTCATGGTCCACCTCCCAGTCCAAGGATTTATATCCAGGTTTGCTGTTCAAATGAGCTTCAGAGCACGTGGATGCAAGGCTGGGATTCCTGCTGGAATTCCAGAGCCCAGCAATGGAGACTGGAGCTGCCATTAAGAGCAGGACATTGGGAGGATGCAGGAAGGTGTTTGTGTTGCTGTCACTGAGATTCTCAGGGATCTTTGGTTCAAGCCTTCCTTTCTTTGTGCCTTTTTTTCCTCCAACACCATACAGGGCTTGGAATTCCTGCATCCCAAGCTAAGTTTTTGGGATCTGTGGGTGCACACAGGTACAAGCAGGGTGCAATACAAAAGTTTAATGAGCAAGGAGTCTGTTTGACCTTGAGTATTTCTCCAAGGGTCTGGGCACACGAGTAAAACATCCAGCAATTCCAATTCAGGATTTCCAGTTTCCAGAGCCAGCCTGACCAGCCCTGGAGAAAAAGTTCACCTTCACATCCCACACATTCCTGCTGACAACCATGAAATCAATGCACGGCTGAAAATAAATCCCACCAACGTGCTGATCCTGTCTGCAGAGCAAGGAGTCAATGGAGAAAATTCCGAAGGCTGCAGGGATTGGAGATTCCCATACGATGGTGCTGTTGCCACATGGCTGGAGCCCAAACCTCTCCCAGAGTGTGGGAGGTGGGAGCAGCCCCAGATTGTTTGTTTAAAAATCTCAGCAACTTCAGAGCATCAAAAATGCATTTGACTCTTTTTTTTTTTTTTTTATTTTTTTTTTTCTGGTGTTTTTTTTTTTTTTTTTTGGTTATTTTGCTAATTGCTGAGCTCTTCTGCTTGCAAAAGACTCAGAGTGTGGGATTCCTGCCAGCTCCTGCCAGCAATGCCTGGAGCATCCCAGAGTTGTTTTCAGCGAGAAAGAAGAGCATTTTCCTGCACCCACACTTTGGAGTTGGGGTGAAGGGTGGGTAGAGAAGCTTGGGCTGTGACCACAAAGAGGTTCTGTGCTTGTTCTGCCCTCACAAAAAACTTTCTGACTTTTGCCTTACCAGGCATTGCATCTTCCTGTGTACAGATGTGGGAAAATATTGAAATACAGGCAGGATATGTGAATTTCCTGGGATCACACAACAGATCTCAAACCAGGACCCTCAACCACCCTTGCTGCTTCCCAGTCTATGAACTTTTCCTTCCATTGGGAAAATTAATTTTCCTGGCCCCACAAGAAACCACAGAACATGGATGGGGAAATTTCCAGTCCAGCTGCTGCAGGAAGAAACACAGAACCACAGAAAAATTTTCAGTGGAAGGGACCTTCAAGATCATCCAGTTCCAATGCCTGCCATGGGCTGGGACGCCTTCTACCAGACCAAGTTGCTCCACATCCTGTCCAATCCTGGGTAGAAAAGGGTGGTTTTGGGGCCAGACATGACCAGCAGGGACCATTGTCCCTCATGTGGCCACAGCTGCCCTCAGTCCATGTCCTCTTGGTGTCTTCTTTCCCAGAGAATCATGGAGTTCTTCAGGTTGGAGAAGACCTCTGAGATCTTTGAGTCCAACCATTCCCAAAGCAAACCCATGTCCCCAGGTGGCACATCCACACATCCTTTAAATCCCTCCAGGGTTGGGCATTCCCTGGGCAGCCTGTTCCAATCCTCCTGGTGAAGAATTTTTTCCTAATATCCAATCTAAACCTTCCCTGATAACTTGAGGCTGTTTCCTCTTGTCCTGTTCCTTGGGAGAAGAGATCAATCCCCAACTCAGGAGGGCTTTGGTCCTTCTAATTTTTTCCCTGCTTAAACTCATGGCATCTTGAAGTCCTCCTAAGTTGTCTCCCCTTCATGCAAAGGCC